CCTGTGTCCCTGTCTCACTTGTCTCACTTCTGTCTCACCTGTCTCACCTGTGTCCCTGTCTCACTTGTCTCACTCCTGTCTCACCTGTCTCACCTGTGTCCCTGTCTCACTTGTCTCACTTCTGTCTCACATGTCTCACCTGTCTCACTTGTCTCACTTCTGTCTCACCTGTGTCTCACCTGTTTGCTAGGGTTGTATGTGAGCTGCAGTCTAGTGGGACAAAGAAGACTGGCTCTGTCGAGGTTAAAGTGGGAACGTCTCTACCTGGGAGGTCAACACAGATGTTCACTTACCAGGTAGGACCTGAGCACCAGGTAGGACCTGAGCACCAGGTAGGACCTGAGCACCAGGTAGGACCTGAGCACCAGGTAGGACCTGAGCACCAGGTACTCAGTTGAAACAGGGTTGAGAGGTGTGGACAGTGAAAGTTACACATTGTGAGTCTTGGGATGATCCAGGCTGGTAATGTCCCAGGCTCTGCTCCACAGAGTCTTGTTTACTACAAGGACTCTGGCAGACCCTGACCACCCACTCTGTGGTGACTTCAGGCTGCTTCTGTCTGAACGCAGGTTGACCAAATGTAGGACTAGTAGATATAAAACTCTTTTATCCATGAACATCTGTGGTTTTTGTGTGTTTGTGCCTGAATGTTTTTTGTTTTGTTGTTTTTATATCTGTTAGCTGTACAACAATATGGCCCTTGGGGATAATAAAGATTCTTGAACGTGAACTCTTGAAAAAGAGGCGAACCATTTCATGAAAAAAAGAACCCATCCAGAGGACCTACTTATCTGTTTTAAATTTTCTGCTTGGATTACTGATATGCATCAGGACGATTTGCATGTGAGTTTAACAGAGTTAAACTAGTTAAACAGTTTCACCGAGGAAAGAATTACCTTCAAGAACCAAAGTGAAGTCCAGTTGTTGTTGGTTGAACACTACGTGTCAGACTAAGGGTCCTTCTTCCTGTCAGTGAGATTTATGAAAAGACCAAAGCTATAGTTGAGTTCAGGTCAAATCATCATGTTGCTCTGACACCTCTGAGCCGTCCAGGTAGTGACAGCACCATAACGATTGATGCATGAAGACTAGGGGTGTCCCGATCCCATRTTGATATCGGATATCGGTCTGATATCAGCCAAAAAACAAGTATCGGATTTTATCGGCCTGCATAAAAAATGTCTGATATAAACGCTCTGATATTAGCAGTYCARTCCAGCAGTTCACTGACTCCACTCCAGTGTTTCCTTCCAGCAGAGCTTGGATCCAGCGTGTAGCGCTCACGTGATCACAACAACATGCTGCGCTAACAAGTTAGCAAGAATGTCAGCAGAACTTTCTATTTTCATCARAAACAGTTGCAGCTAAGTRYAAAGTTGTCAGAKCTGTGGACTCTTAACTTTGAACAGACAATAATGTGGGTTTGTTTTGTCCCACCTTCAGTTATTCCACCATAAAGCAGCACCAGGCTGACAGATGGTAAAACAATAACCAAAGTGATTTTGA